TCTACGTACGTTTTCTTTGTACTGGTCTATTAACTGGGCCAGGACATTGGAGATGGCGTTGAGGATCGTGGATTGGATCAGGGTCACTGTCAAGGGGGATGGGGGCATTGTATTGTTTGCGATGCTCAGGAGGTCGTGAGCATCGTGTATGTCTGGGGGTGGTGGGGTGGGTTTAGGAGGTGTAGACGAGATATATGTATAGGGTACTCCTTATTCTTAGGTGATATGGATAGGTGTTTCTTTTCCTGCTCTGTCTTTTGTTTCAAGGGATTTCCTTCATTTACTTAAGTTGTTTGATTTATTTTTACCCTTTTGGATTTGTTGCACGTGTTGGGCACGTGTCCTGTTCGCTGTAGGAGGGAAATGAGTTGGGAACTGCTTGGCGTTTGGGAGGGGATTTTTCTCTCTCTTTGGTTTAATTAGAATTAGAAGCTGATTTACTTGGCCTTTTGGGGTTTGTGTTATTAATCGAATGAATTTGCAAATGCGCTATACATGAATCAACTTCGTTAAAAAAAAAAAAGGACACATAAATTTCGCCTTAGGCGGTTAGATCCCTCCGGCGGACGGTCACATTCGGCCCCTGCTTGGCGCTGGTGAAATGATCCACCAGAGCCAGATGGCCTTTCTCGTCCTCTCCGTGTCGATCGGCCAACTCCATGTCGAACAGGAACATCAACCGCGCGATGGTCAGGCGCATTTCCATGAATGCCATGCCCTTGCCAATGCATCCGCGGGGCCCGATACTGAACGGGCAGAATGCTCTCCGCGCAGTCTCCACAGCATCCTTGCTGCTCTCCCACTTCTCATCGGCGGTGATGCACGTTGCGCCCTCGATCCATCTCTCGGGCACATACGCCTCAGGTTCGCGGTAGTACTGGGGCTGGCGGTGGATGGAGTAGGTCGGGGTTCCACAGTCCGTGCCGGCGGGTAAAAAGGCCCCGTCCACGACGGCGCCGCCCTCCATCACCTCGCGCGGAATGGCCCCCGGCACGGCAGGTGCCAAGCGCAGCGCTTCGTCAATGCAGGCTTTCAGGTAAACGAGCTCGTTCAATTTGCCGCCGGTGACGATCTCCTCCACCGAGGTGAAGGCCTCACGGACTTCCTTTTTCAGGAGCGCCATGGCGCGCGGGTTGCGGACCAGGTAGAAGATGGTTGCCGCGAGCGTGGTGGACGTGGTGTCGCTGCCTGCGATCATGAGCACGTTAGCCTCGCCCCAGAGCTCGGGCGTCGTGAGACCCTTGCCCGTCTCGGGGTCTTTGGCGTTGAGCAGGTAGTAGAAGAAGTCTTTCTTGGAGTCGTGGCCGGCCTGTGTCCGCTCCTGGGCTCGCTTGTTGGCCTCTACGCGCGAGTTCATGATGAAGTTCCACCGGTCGTTGGTCAGTCTGTGAATGACGATTTGGTCCAAGTGCCAGGTATCAAGGGGCATCCACAGGCCGCACTGGGTTGATATTTGTCAGAAAAAACCAAGGGCTTCTATTTCTCAGCGAAACTCGGGACTCACCACATAGTGACGGTTGGCCGCGCGATCAACAAGCTGGATCATCTTCCTGCGGCCGCTGGAAACCAACATATCGAAACTCTTCCCGAAGCACAGTTCGCCCATGACGTCGTACGTGAGGTAACTGAACCAATCGCCCATATTCTGGACGGCGGTCTTCTGTGCCTCAGCCTTGTTACCGTCTGCCTGCTGCTCGGACAGAGCTGTGCACAGCTGCCGAACATGCAGCAACATGACATCCTCCATGCTCTTGAGAGCCTGGTCGGAGAAAGCCTGGCTCAGCACGCGTCTCTTCCGACCATGGACCGTCTTGTCGATCGCATTGTGCGTGTTGTACACGCCCTTGATGGCAGTGAAGCCATTGTAGAAATCGGCCTTCTTCAGCCTCTTGCCATGGCCGTAGATATCATGCAGGCCCTGCGCGGAGTTGATGGAGACAAAGTTCGGCGCAACACGGACATGCGACCCATACTGCTGATGCAGATTGTGAAGCCATAGATGTCGGTCCCCCTTCAGGCCATGATACAACTGCACCCAGGGGGTTATCGATGCAAGGACCGGGCCGTTAAATTTCCGAAGAGGATGCAAGAAGCGGTTGTAGATGACATATGCAAAAGACTAGTAGTTAAGCGGCCGTAAGCAACTCTGATGACGTACATGTACAATTCCACCACCAATACACAACAAGAGAGAAAAAAGAGAAAGGTAGGATATGGAACGCACCAACACACCCAGCAAAGCAGATACCCCCACCACAACCCCCTCAATCGACAACGTCTTCCAAACCTCCTGGACGAGCATATTGCAACCCCAGGAACTACTAGTAAAATGTAGACCTTCCGTATCCGGAACCGTAGCCGATACAAGCCGAGTCCAGCCGAACACCGGTTCCCCCCGCTGACGTTCCTGGCAAGGAAGGAGCAATATTGGAGCTTGGTAATAGGACCAGGGTCACTGGTAGAGCAAAGTAATTTGGTCTCTTTTTCTTTGGGGCTAACTCAGGATACCATTTCCATTCTACTTCCCTCGTGCCTCGTATATATACCTCTCTCTGGGCTCGGTTAGAAACGGACCTTGTGTTTTGGTTACAAAGAATGAAAGAGGGTGTCATACGTATGTCAGCTCTTGGAAGAATGTCTGGGTTTCAGGCTTCGTTACCGTGGTCTTAGGTTATTTTTAGTTGGAGGGAGATGTGGGTGGAAGGTTATTGTAGATTGGGTTGTCGGCAAATTGCTCTCTACGTGCTGACTGGGTATGAGTGTAGCTTATATGTATGGGTATGTGATTTTTTTTTTTTATTATTATTTGGGCTTATCTGGATGTACATAGGATGCTGTATCTGGTATCTAATTGATAGCCTGGTGTCGGACCTAAAACCGGAGCAATGATCTTCTCGAGGACCGCTTCTATCCGAGTGCCCTATAGTCCCCCATGCTACTGACTGCTTGTCTTCACACCGATAGATGGTAGATAGTGGGTACCGGGTCAGCTGTTAGCCCTAATTCCCCATTCACATGGGTAGGTAAGCTGTGAGGTCCCGCGATAATTCGTGGCGTATATTTTCCTGGTAATCCAGATGGTCCCCAAAAGGTAATGCGTAGATAGCTAGCTGTAAGCTGACTGTGTTTGTGTAACGTCCAAGCAGCCCTTGAGCAACCATCAAAACCCACGTCCCAATCTAGGTATAGCCATGTAAGCCGCCGTCGAGAATCCATTGCTCGTTGTCGTCTTTATCATCCTGGACTCGTCGCCATGTCTGTTGCCGCTCTTTTTGCGGTCTTGCTTCGACCGGTTTGCCGTCGGGACCCTTCCAGACAGGTCGCATCAACCCACCGGCCGCAAGAAGAGGATTCCGACTGAAGGCTTCACCGCGGCGTGACTTTGTAGAATCATCTGCCGGCTCAATAGCCTCCGACTCGGGCTCGGGCTCTTCTTCCACAGGGGATCCTGGATCAGCAGGGCTAGCTCCAGCAGACTGGTACACACGAGTGACTCTCCCGCCCTTGATATCCAGACTCATGATGGTCCTCTTTTTCTCCCATTCCGGACGGGCTTTTTCTTCCATCTCGCGCAATATCTGCTGCTGCTTCTTCAAGGCGAGAGCCCGCTGCGCGGGACTCATCCACAGCGTCGACGCAACATTAGGAGTCTCGAAGTCCGCCGCCTCATCCACAACACGCGTCCGCTTGGCATTCTGCGCCTGGAACTGAAGCAATTTGTCCCGGTGAGCCATGGCAGCGTTCAATTTGCTGGAAGACGCCGAAGGCGAGGGGCCCTGCCCCGGTCCGCCCTCGCGGTGATGGCTCTCGTTATGCGCGCGCATCTTCTCCTGGCCTCGTTCTGCCCGCAGTTCTCGGATCATGCTCTGCACTTCCTCGTTCGACAACAGGGGTGTGCCGCAGAATGAACACGGCTGGAGGCCCTCCAGGGAGCAGATGATCTTGCCGCAGTTGAGACAGTTCGGGGCAGGGTCGAAAAGAGGGTGGATCGCAGCGAAGCAGGAGCATTTCCGGGATTCGTTGCCCAGGGTTGGGTTCGTGGATAATTCTAGTGCGGCGATTGCGGCGGTAAGATCGGAGATGTTGGTCGTTGTTAGGGAGTTCTTAGACTGGCTCGTAGAGGTGTTGTTACTGTGTCGTGTAGAGGAGGACTTCGCGGCCTTGGATTTAACGTTCGGTAGTAAGTCCGAGAGCATAGGCCCCGAAGCAGAGGGCGGCGGTTTGCTCGAGCTTTGTTTCGGGACAGGCGAGTGAGCGCGCGACGAAGCAGCAGATGAGTCCTCGACCGATAGATACGGCGATCGTGAAGCGCCCGTATCTTGTTTGGCTCTAGGCGCCGGCGCCATGTAATCCTCCTCTAGATCTGCCTTCTTGTATCCGCCTGTGACATCTCCGAAGTTATCGGGCCGACGCGGGGGCCCGGCGCTGTGTAGCGGTGGCTTCGACTTCTTGCCCTTCTTTTGCCCCGCTCCTGGATTCCTAGAGCTTGTTGCTGTCGGTGTGGATGAGGGTGCATTGGAAGCTGCTGGTCGTTGAGGCGCGGGGTCTCGTCGCGAACTGAAAGCGGATATAAATTCAAAGGCTGCGGGGGAGTCACCTAAGAGGTTTTTGAGATGATCGGCACCCTCTTCTTTCGGTAGACTGGCGGCGTAAGTGATGATCTGCGTGAGTGATTCTTCGTCTAGTGGGAGGATTTGCGATATGCGGGAAACGCCCCAGGAGATGAGGCTGGGGTCGGTCATGGTTGGGAAGAGGAATTAGATGAATGACGGATTTGTAGAGTACTATATGTGGGAGGAGGGAGGATGGTGGATACAGCCCTCTATGGGGGACTTCGATGTAGCCGGTGGGGAGTGGAGGAGCTATGGAGTCATGTTTGATAGAGATAGTCGCCTGAAATATCAGGCAGGACATACCGGCTCAATATATGGATTCATCTAAAACGCGATATTTTTACTAGTTTCTATTATGTATGTTGCTAGGAAGATGAAACAAATGAACCCTGTGAAGATAGCCATATCCATTGAGATAAAAGCAAAATTCTCGTACTACCTATCAACCTTAACCTATTGTACATATACACCGGCATGATCATCTATCTCTGAAACACAAGACCAAAGCAAAGAAACGGTGCTGATTCAGCAAAACCATAACAAATGAAAGAACTGAAGAGAAGTAATATAATGTCGAGATGTCCCAGACTTTTCGACTAATAAGAGTAAGCCCTGTTGACGCCTTTGATGCCGAGTATTTACGTCAGATCGTTAAAAAGGAGACTATGTCCAAAGCCTCGTCTCCGATGCAGACAAATCTGTATGCTCACGAGAAGCAACACAGAAGTACTGCAGAAGCTATAATTAAGGAGAGATGAAAACGAAACTATGCGTTGTCGCCATTCGGTTCGCTTTTTATATCGCCGTCACCAGCGGCTGCAGCGTCCGCGGCTGCCGCCATGTCAGGCGTCACACCATTCTTGAGTTTGCTACTGGGAGCCGGTGGGGGCTTTTTCCCTGAAAGCTTTTTAGGAGCACCGAGTTTCTTTTTCTTCGTTATAGTTGGCGGAGTGTCGTCATCTAATGGACGTTTGGGCGGCGCAGAAGTAGGGGTACTGCTACCATTTTCCATGGGCGTTTTGTTTCGATTGACTTGTCGGCCAGATAGGCCGAGACATCGGTCCAAGTGCTGTGCCACTCGCGTCACAACAAAGTACCTTGGGCAATTAGGGCACTTGACTGTCGGAAATGATACTTTCTCTGGAGCCGCTTGCTTAAAGGAGCTATCCGGCGTTGTAGGCGGGCTTGACGCTGGCGTATTTGAAGTGTTGGTCTGTTTCTTCTTCTTGGGATTCAGTTTGTCCGTAGCAAACGGATTCCCATGAACATCATGCCCTGGTTTGCTGATCATTGGTTGCTTTTGACAATATTCTCGATATGGATCCGGAGGGGGCCGGGCTCCGAGCCCAGTCACAGGATAAAGTAGACGTGGCAATCGGCAGTCGGGGCAGATTATTTCTTTGGTAGTATTAAGTGGGTTTCCCTTGAGATAAACCTTCCCATCTTCAAAAATGGCACCATCAGTCTCAACGCGGATGTCCTTGAGTTCTTCAAAATCTTCGCCCGGTTTTAACGCAGTGGGCTTGGCACCTGCTTCTTCTCGGCGCCTTCCTGCTTCTTCTTCGGCTTTCTGCCTAGCAATTGTGACAGCAGAGCGCATTCGAGCGATCTTTTCATCCCGATGGACTTTTGACACTATGTCATGGATAATGTTATAGAACGTGTTGTTGAGAATATCACATGTCTAGTTGGTTTTGTCAGTGCCTTGGCCTTGGATATGCCTGGCTTATTACTGTAGCCAGCTAGAGGACGGTACAAGGCCAAGTAAGGATACGTACCAGCTTCGCAATAGTTCCCGAAGGAAAGGAACTTTCCTGGTCTGTTCCGTTTGATTCGCCCATTTTCAGGATACCTATGTTGCAGGTATGAGGTCAGAAACCGGACCGCAATATAACCAGTGTGGGGATATGATGTATCAACATGCGAAATGGTTGAGTGAAGCACAGGGGTTTGCAAACATGGTGGGCGTCTAGCTAGAGGGCCGAGCGCCAAGGAACACAACTTCTAAAGCACTCTTCCATCGGGGAATCACAATGGAAACATATAAGATAGCTTGAATGGGACACCAGTGTTTGCTTCCAGTGATAAGTTGGGACAATAGGCGTAGATCGCTGGTTTTATGGAACGCACCTCAATTGCGAACTAGGATTCGTTGTCCAAGACAATTGTTCAAGAAGGTCGCGTAGCAGTTCCGATATCTCTTGGACTGATTAAAACAGCTCCATGTACTGTTGGGTATTATATCACGACGAATATCAACTCGTGGCAGGGCGATCGCGCAGAGGCAAAAGAAAGTCGAGGTCGCAAGATACTCCTTACTGACCGGATTGAGCGGAGTGTACAAGGGGCGTCACAACAGAATCAATCGAATTCTAGCGATCAAAAGAGTAACACAGGGAGGAAGCAGCTAATGGGATCCATCTGCCAGTCGATAGTATATAGGTTTCTCAGCCTGGGGCGGGTAACACTCCACGGTAGGGAGTCAGTGAATGACCAACACAGCTCACAGGGAGGACCCACTTACCTGCTTTACATTAGACAGGTGGTATATATATAAGACGAGAGGAATGATATGGAAGGTTCAGAATATTGATAGCATGCGAAAGTACTCCGCAATCTAGTCCAAGGTATCCTTGGTGTGGAGTGGAGAGGACAAGAGGCTTCTGCGCTGGCCTTTCACTTGCCTTCTCCGACCGGCCCATCTTATCTTATCTCATCTCCGCGTTCTCTCTTTCGCTGTTTTCGTCCATCAAGCGGACCGTACAACTTTCCCCTCTTCGACTGCAACGCCAGGTAGTTTTTCTTATGATTCACAGAAGTGATCTACGCGCAGAAACGACTGAGTATTTTACAGTATAGCGCGTATCTGCGCACTCCTTCATCTACCATGGCATACCAGTTCTTCGCAAAGGCGCATCAGTCGAAAGCGCCGACCTCTCCGCCACTCTCCCCTCCTCTCTCTTCTTCCTCCAACAACAGACACCCCAAACCTCCTATACACCCTCCATCGCTGGTTCTCCCTCATCCAGGGACCTCTACCAGTATCGCAGACAGGGTCAAACCGCCTACAGGCAAAGACTCATCTTTCCATCCCCCCGCATACCCCCATCCCATCGCACCCAGTTACAAAACCCCGCACCCTCATGTTACCATCGAATCCGTGAGCACCGCTCACATACCCTCTCTCATCCGGATCACGGGCTTGCTGCTCCCAATACGCTACCCAAACTCCTTCTACACCGCGACCATCACAGACCCCGTGATCGCGTCGGTGTCACGCGTGGCCATCTACCATGATCACCCGGGAGCCGCGGCGCCAGCCTCCACATCATACGCTCCCACATCCGCGTCCCCGCTAGGAACAAGCACGGGGACAGACAAAGTGATCGGAGGAATCAGGTGTCGTCTAGAGCGGCTTCTTCCCACCACCGCAGAACTTCTCCAAACCCAGTCGAAGCCCCATTCGCAGGAGCCGACGAATCTCTACATCCAGACCCTACATCTGCTTTCCCCGTATCGCGGCTGCGGTATTGCGGCGTCGCTTCTTAACTCATTACTCTTCTCCTCTGCCCCTTCGTCTTTGTCTTCTGGCGCGCGCTCTACTTACCAGGTCTCGGAACTAGTGAAACACTACAATGTGCGCACTGTCACGGCACACGTGCATGAAGCCAATGAGGAAGGCCTGAAATGGTACATCGCGCGCGGCTTCCAGGTGGAGGAGGGCGTTGTTGAGAATTACTATCGGCGGTTGAAGCCGTCCGGGGCACGAATTGTCAAGCTCGTTCTGCAATGGAAGGACGATGCCAGTGACAAGGCCGCGGGAGCTGATGTCCACTCTGCGTCTGGCCAGTCGGGAGAAGATAGCAGGAAGAGCCCGGAAGAGGATGACGATTGGGAGAAGGTCGAAGCCGAAGACGGAGAAGACAATGAAGATCACGGTGTACAAACGTTCACCGACTCTAAGATCCTTGAGGTCGATGATGGCGTGAACAGGAAACGGAAGGCCGACGATGAACCTCAGCGAGCGTGATCTTGCTATTCACTTGTTGAGTTTGTGGTTTGGAATGGAGTTTGCTTGTCTGTTTGTTATTCTCTCTGCTCACCTATTTAGGATACCCTTCAACTGCTGCATCTCATAGATGTACAGATCTTTCATTATTCGCTTGCCTACTTAGAATTGTATACATTGCATGTATATTGTTCTTAGAATTGATTATCAAGAGACATAGAGCCGTGATTAGAGACAGAACACGTATATTCAAAGCTGCTTTATAATCAATAACATTCATGCGCAATTATGTTCAAGGGTATAGAACTGTACAGCTTGGGAGTTGCTTCCAAACCACAAACAATCATTAGGGCATTGACAATAGAGGGGATCTACAATCGCACAACAATTCAGACATACAGAGCGAGTACAACCCAGTGATCAGACATTGTAGTTCTCAGCATGCAGGAATATCTCGTCTTTAGACGCGTCAGTTATGACTTGCTGCTGAAGCTGAGCAACGGCGTTCGAAACTTCAACTCTCATACTAGGAGGCCCACAGACAAAGACGCAGGCACGACGACCGAACGTGCGAGAGTAGTCTTTGAGCACCTGCGGGATATTGGGACGGGCGTAATCAATGCGCCAGCCATTCCTCTGCAGCGGGACGGTGCCGACCCGGGTGGTCAGTTTGGGAAACGCTGTTGACGAGGGAGGAAAGCCGAAGTGAAATGGAGTATCTGCTGGGCTCTTTTGAGGCGAATAATACGGCGCCTGTTGATAGTTATTGTCCATTGAGCTGCTATTGTAGTGTCTACTGGTATTGATATGCGGGAGGGTGTGTGCCTGGGGAAGCGCAGTAATGGCATCTTCATTCTCGCGTCGAAGCTCCTTTTCAATCTCCGGGTCCCCGGCTGCTTCTTCACGGATGTATGCCGAGTTTCGCTTATCCATCCCCTGCAACGTGTTGTACATTTTGTCTCTGAGCATTTCCTCGTAGAATTGGTCTTGGGCCAGTTGCTCCTGGCCGTTTGGCCCTAGTCCAGTGAGGAAGAAATGACAGTGAACTGTGTTTGGAGGCGCAAAGTCCCTGCATATTCTCAGTTCCTCTCTGAACCAGTCGATTGTTTCGGGGTTCCTGAATGCCCAGATGACCCGCACTGACTTGGTTACTGCTTTTCGGTCCCGCATCTTCTTAATCAAGTCCAACAGGTGGCTGGCAGTTGCAGTTATGCCGCTTCCACCGGCGAAGAAGACTACGTCATCAAAAGCAGCCATGTCTCTTTTCATCCCTCCGTAGGGGCCTTCCAAGAATGCCGTCCAGGTCTTGTAAGGACCATACTCAAAGGTCTTGAGGAACACATTACGAGTAAAGCCTCCGAAGGGACGGAAAACGAGAGCTAGGTCACGATAATTCTCACCATACTCGGAAGGAAAATCGCCGCTACACAGTGACGAAATCGTAAAGGGGTGACGCTCGAAAAGTGAGATGCCCGGCATACGGAGATAGACAAATTGGCCTGGTTTCCATTTCATCTGAGTCGCGACCGTGACTTTGATAGCATTCTGTGGGAGTATCGTCACTGCGCATTCTTCACCGATCAAGAAGGACAGCCGTAGGGGGTTACTCCAATTCACATAAAACAATCTGACACCGTATGAAAGTATCCAGATTGCAACCGTAGCCCAAAGATAGTCCCAGGATGCCAAGAAGTTCTTGCTGTGCCAGAATATCATGGCAAGAAAGACGACTGAAAGGGGAAGGTGCGCAAGCTTGAAAAGCTCATACATCCTGGCTCTGAGTATCGGCATTGAATGCAGGCATAGGACTATAAGAGGCGCCAGTGCCGCCCAGCCGGTGCCGTAGATATAGATGTTCCGGGGAAAGTATTGCTGGTAGTACATCAGATTCTTGCTTTCCCAGATAGGTGTGACGTAGAATGGGACCATATGGATCAGGCTTAGAAATAGACAGAGATAGCCCGCCCAACGGTGAAGAACATTCAACCTCTCATGGCTAATGCCAGTTAAAAAGCTGATGAAGTTAGCACGAGTACTGAGCAAAATGATCCATGGAATCATAGCCACGGCAATCATGCCTGCACGGATCGCCAAAGGAGGAGATCCGATAGAAACTGAGGAGTAATAGAGCGGTTGTGGCACAAAACAATACAGAGTGACGAATATTAGGGCCGCAAAAATAATAGAGGATGCTCCCAGCGATGGAAAACCAATCCGTAGTTTGCCTATACGTAGCACTGGAATAGGCCTATAGAAAACCCATCGTACAAAAGCAATAGTGTTGTTTAATGGCGCAATGGTGGAAATCGACGATTGCTGTTTCGTGGTATTGGTACTGGGCAAGGGGCCACGAGCTGGAAAGAAGTGCGCAGTGGAGCTATCGGTGGCAGCACTTGACAACTCATATTCTTCCTGGGGAGAAGTGACATATGGCGATGCTCCAGCAGTATCCTCTTTGTGTAATGCGATCCTGATTTTGTCACCCCAAAGGTGATAGAACCGTATAATCGTTGAGAATGCGAGTAGAATCACAGAGAAGTAAACCCAGCCAAGCCCATATTTTCCTGCTTGAGGCCAGGCATCTCGTTGCATTTCAGCAATTTCTGCTGGCGTGGTGGACGCAACAATGGGGATATCAATCCGCTTCACCAGGGAAGCTATTGAATGCCATCCTGGCAGCATGGTGCCTTGTCTTTCTGTAATATTACTGGCAGTTGCTCCTGCTTGGAAGTATCGAAGCAGCACCTGGCGTGATACAGAGAGGGCTGTAAGAGGTCAAAATCTGATTCACCGTACTATATCTTTCCGACTCACCTTCGTATCAAATATGACAAAGCACCGGGCAGCATTCAACACCGCATCTGTTGGTTTGGGGTTTAACGCAGCATACGGGTACCGTAAGCTGTGTAGTAAATTGGAGATGATCGACGTGGGAGGGAGGGTCTAGATAGGGGACAGCGAGGGAGAGGAGATCAGGAAGGAACATCGATCATGACTAGTAAACCTTACCAGCATGTTGCCGGCTATCGATTTTTTCCCTGAGTTCGCTGCATTCGTTCATCCGTTATTGGATCCTGCATCAGCCATGCGGGGATAATGGCACGAACGTTGCAGCCGATCGTCGAGCTGATTCCGTCCATTAAGCATGGTGAATAGAGGTAAGAAGAGCAAGCGGCATGGTTGCCCTAGCTTCTCGCATAAAGTCCATCACAATTCTTGACCAATGATCGTTCCCGAATAATGTGCTGCTCTGCAGTGTGTTTATACGCTAATGCACGGATTTTGCTTCTCGTCACCTACAACAACCCATCAGCACTGCTGATTGGATGGGAGCCCTTAAGGCCGGCGGCAAAGCAGGCGCCGTCACTCGATGAGAGCGTCACGCTTGACGGCGGCCGCCGACAGGTTTGTCGACATCTATCTCGCTTAAGAGCAGTATCCTACTGCTTCTACGGAGAAAGTCGTTGATGTATAGGAAACGCCGGGTTAGGGCTTGTGGTCGCTCCCGCCACCCATGTCACTTCAATCAACCTTCCAAGACTGCCGCTAATTGTTAATCCATTGATCACTAATTAATAAATGCAGTAAATGCTGGACCTGAGTGTATGATTCCCTGGAGTACATATTCTGTGGTTAATATACTGCATCAGATATATTGCCAAGGCTGGATACATTCAATGTCGAGGTGTCCCCGGTGCCAACGAATCCCACAGTCCCAACACCATTCCTGCTGGCATAAGATACCTGCCAGAGAAAGCGTCAGTAATTCTGATATCAAATATGCCTCATTCCATAAGTGATACACGTACATGTCATATGCTTGCACCCTCCTGACCTCTCTGTGGCCACATTACAACCAGGGCAAGGTCTTGCCGTCTCAACAATTGTCCGCATACTCATGGCCGCTTGACTAGACCAATTCTCTGGGCATTGCCTCGGTGCATTGGTTTCAGGAAACATTTGATAACCTGTCTGAAATTCATTACGTGCCTCGAAATCATCACTTCTATGGTTGATATATTCTTCATACTCCGAGCATGTTAAACCATCATGCCAGACAGTATGTCGATGTATGAAGCATGTCCGAGTCCCACACGAGCCGCAAACGACAATTGGGTCTTCTAAGCCACCGGCATGCAGTTGCCCATATCCGCAACCTTGCCTGACGCAAGTAACGAACTCAGCGTCCTCTTCTAACATTTGCCGAGTGCGTATGTAGTCATAGGCTTCGAAGGTCTCTTTGCTAGCCCACCGCTGGACTTCGTCATCTGATAGTTGCTCATGGCAGAGAGGACAGGTCAGAGAGCCCAGACTCGAGGCAAAGAACTGTATTTCCAAACTCCGGCGAAGACAGGTTTTGCATATGTGCATCTCAGGTACAGTTGAGTGGTTGCAGCCAGCTGCAATCGGTGATTCTGGGTATGAGTCATTCTTAAGATACCTGAAGCAGACAGTGCATTTCAGACGGGTTTGGTCTGGGGTACTCCCGCCGCTTCTAGAAGTATTGCTCGACGGAGATTGGACTGGCTCCTTGCGGAGTAAAGAAAGAACCGCATCGGCTGTTACCGCATCGCTCCAGCAGTGTTCGGTCTCGTCTGGCCATATTATCTTGGACCTGGCCCTCCTCGGAACATAGCCATCCCTCGGCGAATCGTTTTCACTGTGTCCAGACACTGCGCTGCGATTTCGATAGTGACTGTAATATTGTCCACCTAGTGGGTGTTGTGAGGAAGACGGAGATCCTTCGTTGGATATATCTGCTGCAAAAGGTGCGTTCATATTTCCTTCCAAGAGTATTGTGAAGCCTTCAGTTGCCTTAGTGCATAGTTGTCCTCATAGTTTTGATGTCAGTCATAGAATGTAGGTATAGAAAATCCGCGACAGAGCTCAACTATAGTGACATGTTTTGCGACAATGCAAGGTATACCAAAAGTTGAATTGCTTTCCCAGTGAACATACTCAGGATGCTGTGCATATCGCGATTTGGACGCCTGTTGAATAATAATCTCAGGCCAGATTGACCAAAACATGACAACGAGCCAAGGAAATGCCGCCATCCGCTGAATACGAGATCCAGATAACCAGAATAGGTCATTTTTCTTCAGGTCTGCAGCAGAGTTCTGCAATCATTGATGAATAGACCATAAGACTATCCGAGATAGGCGGGCTGAGACAACCCAGCTCTTGTGGAAGAGCCAAATCTGGAAATAATATGCAAGATGCATCATTTGTGCTAGAGGTATACGTCCGAGAATAGACACAAACATTCCGATCAACGCAGAACACGATACTTAGCATTGCCTACGTAGGACTAGGAACCTTATTTGTCCTTGCTTGGCTCGTAACAAATGGTGCAATCACGAGCAAAATAACTTTATGACTGTTATGCGCCAGTTAAAAGCCCCCAAACTGAGCATCGCCGTAGGGCCCTACCATAGTGCAGCATATATGACATCGTGTTGCTTTCAAATTTGTCTTCCGCCCTCTTCGCTCGGACCAGATAAGGACTCTTGTTCGGAAACTAACGCGATCGACGACATCTCGTGTTTATATATAGATCAGGCGGCGATCCTTTGAACATAATTCCGAAACGTTCAATTAAACTGGCTACATACAAGCAAAACTGCTATCAAATCGCCTCTCGTCACGGGTATGGCTTCTGGCTTTAGGAAATGAGGTGCTTCTTTTGCATCTTAGACCTGAAAAAAGACGCGGAAGCCCTTTCGTCAGTTTCCTAATATGTATTACCATGTCGTGATGGTCGACTGTAAGGCAGAGATGTGACTGCGTTACTTGTTCATTTCACTAGGAACGCGCGATGTGAACTGGTCTTCATCCATAGTAGCCTGGAGCAACACCGGCTCTGCTCCTTGGTCATACAATCTGACTTGTGAGGGGTGTTTCTACTATACCTTTCGCAATAGACTAATCTCCATTAGCAGAAGAGCAACCCCTCACATATTGCGCAGAAAGCGCATATATCCAACTAAATGAATTAGTAGGTTATGCTAGCAGCTAGTAGTAGTAGCGTAAATGTGAGTGTTGGTGGCTAAATACTCCGCAGGGTTATTGGCTTGCGCAGCATTCACCGCCTATAATATCGAAACTATTCTGCCGCCGAAAAATAAGTTGCAGCTTCTTTCCCACGACCAACAAGAACGACCAGATCGGGAAATCCAATTATTCCCCTCGTTATACAATCTTCCCTATCAGCTGGTTGAATCCGCCCGTGGATTATTCTCATTTGAAAATGGCTCCAGCCGCAGCTGCAGCTGCGCAACCGACCACGTCTCTTACTCTGCCCCCCTCACAGTTCGCGCGGCTTCAACCTCACGCTTACCTTCTTGCCCACTTATCACCTCCCCCATCGAGCAACCAACCATCTATCCGAGCCAATGGCCGTGCCACTTCACAGTTCCGTGTTACGTCTGCCAATACGGGCTCCTTGACCCATACGAATGGCAGTGCCGTAGTGAGACTCGGCGATACCACTGCCGTATGCGGTGTTCGCGCGGAAATCCTGCACACAGAAGACATTGCATCGTGGAGCGTATCCCGACCACCACCAGCATCATCATCATCCACTCCAGCAAACAAGCGCCGCAAGCTAACGGATCCTACGGCCAAGCCAAGCGAAACGCCCGACGACAATAATGAAGAGGACAACGATGAATCACACATTCAAGACTTCAACCTTTTAGTGCCTAACCTCTCCCTGAGCACCGGGTGCGCGCCAGGCTTTATCCCAGGCGCACCTCCCTCGGCATTGGCACAGTCGCTGTCCCACCAAATTCTCACATTGTTGCACAGCACACGACTGGTCCGTGCGGAGGACCTACGAATTTGGTATCAACCGCCGAATCTGGGGCCTGAGGAACTAGAACGTCACAATGAAAGCGAACAGATGGATGTAGATGCACCCCAGGGAGAAGCTGGCGCCGAGAAAAACAGGGAGATTAAGGCTTTCTGGGTGCTTTATATTGATGTTATGATTGTTTCGCTGGCTGGTAATCCCTTTGATGCTGCTTGGGCGGCTGTCCTTGCCGCGCTGCGGGATACCAAGTTGCCCCGGGCGTGGTGGGATGTTGATAACGAAATGGTGGTATGTTCAGACGATATCTCGGAGGCGCGCAAGCTATCTTTGCAGGGGCTGCCTGTCTCGAGCTCGTTCGCTGTTTTCGAGGCTGATGCGGCTTCTGGGTGGAGAGCTGAGGTCATTCCAGATGCTGAAGAGGAGAGGGAGCTTGATGACAGCTCTAGGAAGGGGAACCAACGGAGGTGGATCCTGGCCGATCCCGACGGTTACGAGGAAGGGCTGAGCCAGGAGAGAGTCTGTGTTGTAGTTGACAAAGAGCAGGGCGGGAAAGGGAAGACTGTTGTTGTGAAACTGGAAAAGAATGGCGGATGGGCTGCGGACGCCAAAGAGCTGAAGGCTCTAGTAGACATATCCGCTCAAAGATGGGAAGATATAAAACAAATTCTTGAGCAGTGCTAGAACTACCATCTGATTAAAACAAATAGTGAAGGTTACGGTTAATGATACCAATTGAAAGATTCGTGTTCATGTATGTCTTTCTTTATGATTACAGCTGCCGATCTAAACAGGCAGGTAAATAAGACCCCACCGAACTTGGTAGGTCTAGTTGTGTTTTCACTGCCAAGGTAAAAATACATTGATATTCGTTGGTACTCATTTAGCGGGCGAAGAAGCTGCTCCGGCTTTCCTGGGACTCCTGCGGCGTCGTTTTGTAGGAGGCTCATCCTCTCGCTCTGTGTTGCCAACGAAAGACCAATTCTCGTCATCAACAGTGGATTTGACATCCTCGGCCGGGCTTTTCGGCTGATCAGCCTCATCAGTCCTGGTCTTATGGGGAATGTACAACGAAATCGTGAACAATTCCATGTTCTTTTTATTAGCTCCTTTCGAAGATTTCTCTGGTTCTGCAGGCCGGTCCCCCTTAACCTCGGCTGAGCTTTTCTCCTTATCAGGTCCCTTAGAGGACGCCTCTGATGTACGGCTTTTGTTGATATCTCCTGACAGGATGCGGCGGAAGAAACCAGTGTTCGCAGCAGGAGCTTCCTCCGGCTTCTCCTGCTTTTCCTCGGCATCGCCCTCTTCCTCTTCAGCGTCAGAAAATTCCCGCATCTCTTCGAGGTCGCCCTTGATGAGAGCAGTTCCCCATAAGGAAATTAAGACTCCGGGAACCAGGTAGAGAAGAGCAGGCTGGGGGTGGTCGAAGCATTGCATAACAATGAGCGTTACAAGTGTCCCAACGATGTAGCCTACCATGCTGGCTTTGAAATATGTCTTCGGGAAAGCCCGAGCATCGTGATAAGGTGGCTCAAGGGCTGATCGAGTGGGAGCGACTGATGATGCCCAGAAGCGCTCTCCCCATCCTCCAGTTGCAGATTGGTATACGGGCTTAACAATCTCTTGTGTCTTGCCTTCTGCTTGAGCTTTCTGTAGTCCCTTTCTCTTGTAATAGAGATACAAATCAAAACGCAGCGCCAATCCAATCATCATTCCCGGAATAATGATGTCACCCAAACCTATCATGGCCAAAGAGACGGCGTCTGGGGGTGAGTCGGGTGCTGCCGGGCGAGGGAAGACGAGCTTAATTGGAACATCCAGACCCTTTGCAACAGTCACCATCAATGGGGTGAAGTAAACGAAGTAGATGTCGTAAAAGAATAACGAGCTCAGAATGAGCGATCCGGTGAGAAAACTAGATGGCGACATAAATTGTAGAGTGCCGTAGCAGAAGCTAAATCCCAGAAAATTAGTTAACCACCAAGGCTTCGTAACGAAAGTGAAATAGCCGATCGCAGGCAAAGCCAGGCCCACGCTAAATAGATCCAGAAGGCCAACTGAGAATTCAGTCTTGATAATGCGACGTAGAAGAATCCTAAGTTTGGCCCGTTGGTATAACGAGTTACGACAGGTCCAAAGAAGGTTGAGAACTGGCCCTGGTAACTGGATAGAGCCAAAGATACCTGGGAGTGGAGAATTCCGTGCCGCCAGGGTTTCTGGAGTAGTCGAACCTTCTTGTACAACTTTGAAAACACGATCCGATTGCTTGACCTTCCAGGTTTTGCCAGCTTTGCTATATTTCCGTGGAAATACAAAGGACCTGAACACCGCAAGGCTGTCTTTCACGAAAGCTGTGGCAAAGAAGAGACCCATTTGTGAAAAATAGAAACCCAATATCTTATTCAGTTTGTCGGCTCCCATCCATTTCATCACGAGGTACAGGCCTCCAAGTGTGAGACCAGCAGTCAAAGGGAATATTATAGCATCACTGGGCGCAAGGCCTTCGACCCTTCGATCGTCGCTCTCTTCTTCCTCATCTTCGTCTTCATCGTCAGATTCATCGCCGTCTGCATCTTGGGATTTTTTGGGCGGTTCGGCTGCGGAAGACGGTCGCGAGAGCGAGGCGTGTGAAGCAATGTAGATAGGAAACAAAACTGAAACGACTAGATGTGCGTATGTCGGCAAAAGAGGCTTCACGGCTGTGAACTGGTAGATCGCCTGGCCCAAGAATTCAGCGAATGGGCTAACCTCTGTCATATCGACTTTTGAGGAGCTAATCGCAAAATGTACAATAAAATGCGATGTAAAGCCCTTTTAGCGGTGATCCAAGTTAGTAGGGTGTACTGTCCAATGTCGGGTTTATTTAATCCATGGCTGAAGGTTGTTGTTTACTGAGGAAAGAACGGGGACATTAACAGATTGCATCACATGGAGCCCTGCAGCTCACTCATAAATGCCAAGCCGGAGACTTCACTCCCCCGCCCGCAGCTTGTGCGTATCTTTCACTCCCATCTTTGCAGGTACAGCTGATTTTCAATTACAAAATCAACTATGGCGACTGACGTGGCTTTTGATACGAGCATGGTAATCAGAGCTGCCTAATCTAAAAGCATATTATATTTCGCTAATTTCACATAGGGCTCGTTCACGGTAGAGCTTTATAATTCGCATGCACCAAAGGTCAGTATATCATCTCCGCTGCAATCGCAAACACAGAGTTTAGTCTGGGGCTGACTCCTGCGTTACTTATAGACTTGTAAGAACTTTGCGACACTCGCACAAAGGGGATACTACAACAATGTCATCTTCCACCGCATCATTCCCAACTTCATGGTCCAGACAGGTGATCCCACCGGCACTGGCAGGGGAGGAAGCTCTATCTACGGCGAGAAGTTCGAGGACGAGATTCGTGCAGACCTTAAACACACCGGTGCTGGCATCTTGAGCATGGCAAACAGTGGACCAAATACAAACGGCAGCCAATTCTTCATAACCCTTGCCCCCACGCCGTGGCTAGATGGAAAGCACACAATCTTTGGCAGGGTCAAGAGCGGGATGAGAGTGATTCAGCGCATGGGACTTGTTAAGACAAATGGAGAAGATAGACCGATGGACGAGGTCAAGATCCTTCGTGCTAGGGTCGTTGAGGAAGGCGAAGAGTGAGATGGAGATTGGACTAAGATATCGTTGGCATCTCGAACAACCGGGAGGTTGAGGTCCAAAACGATATCATCCCAGTCATCCATCCCTAGCCGAAGGGCCCTTGAAGTCACTCGCTTGGTTCAAGCAGAGGTTCAAGATTAAGACAGCCTCAGCCTCCTCCCTTTGGGAACACAGCTAACGTATGCTTTGGACCAATATTTGCATCCTAGTGTACACGCCGAGTTGGGAGAACCTGAAAGAGGCTACTGCACTTATAGGCCTTAGTTCGTGTTACTGTTGACAACAGCAGAGTTTTATCAACTACAAAGCAGATAGAATAATGGAATGTATCACTACAAAACGAACTGCTTCTATCAAATGTTACCATCCAGAGCAGCAGATACAGAGTGATTGGAGTCCTGTCTACCACTCCCATAGACATGACCAGTGAAGGCATGTCTGAAAAGGCGTACTGCCACGGTTGAAATAGCAGTACGCCTGTGCAAAGCACTGAGAGTGGTGTGTAAAAAGAAAGAAACTTCGTGCGCTGGAGAATCGAATCTTAAGTGGTTCGCGAACTGAGCTAACTATTTTAGGTATAGTACCATCTTTTGCCCAGCCTCAGACAGGGAGCTAGACTACTAGTAGCTACAGCATCATACCCAGCGACAGTTATGCCAAAAAAAAAATTCTGAGATCAAACATAACATGTGGCGTCATTATAAATTGTATCATTAATCCGGACTGCGAGCTCAATCCCTCGATTGAAGTCCGACTGCTTTCAAGATACATCCAAGATACAGAACAAGTACGGACTACCTCCATACAAACAAGGCTAAAACAAGGGTATAAGGGAATATTAACACAAATTCCATAGCTTGTATTGATCAGCCCTGTAGCCACTGGCATAAATCTCGTAACCGTCGAGTTAATAACAGCAATATCTCCTTTATAATTACAAGCGATATCGTCGGTCATTGAACGAGCGGAGCTCCTTTCATCACGTGATATACTAGCGGGCCTAATTATTTCTGCGTGTGTCCTTGCTCTTCTTTTTTTCTTCTCCCGAGAACCCCCTCACTTCTTGCACGGATGGTTGTCGCGCCACCACCAATGGGCTGGAAGGTCCTTGCGAAGAGGGGTTCTACAGCTTGTCACCCGACGTGATGATAGTCGGAGTTGTCCATTGTAACTGCAGCACTTAAGTTTTCTCTTCAGCTTTTTTTAGCTACACAGGCCGTCATGGAGCCGCTTGCAGAAACGCCATGGGATGTAACAATCTCTGGCACCGGACTGGCCCAGTCCCTCTTAGCACTGTGAGTATAACTTTGTGTCTCAAAGGTTCGTCGAAGATCACAGATGACTAATTGCTTGTAGGGCCCTTTCGCGGTCAGGCAAGAAGGTACTCCATGTTGATCAGAACTCATATTATGGAGCTTCTGAGGCAGCTTTCAGTCTCCAAGAGGCACAGGAGTGGGCTTCTAAGGTGAATGGGGGTGAGTGGTCTTCTTGACGAAGACAATGCAACCTTCTAACCATGGTTGATAAGCTAGAACCTGAGCATTACCCATTTGAGGATGCAACGGTATATCTTCCTGAAGGAACTCCCCAATTGCCGCCACGGTCCTATACACTCACCTTGTCTCCACACCTGATTTATTCCAACTCGCGACTGCTACCTACCCTTGTGGCTTCTAAGGTATACCGGCAACTAGAGTTTCAGGCTGTAGGGAGCTGGTGGATACACAAAACTCTGCCCGACTCGAGCGGTACTGATGGTACTGCCAGCAGTTCGGTTTTGTATAGGGTGCCAGGTAGTCGCGAAGACGTCTTCGCAGATGACATAATAAGCGTCAAGTCGAAAAGAACCTTGATGAGGTTTCTTCGCCATATTGGCAAGCCTCCACAGGATGGCGATTCGGAAGCTGAGGAAGAAGATCTGGCTACGTCTCTTCCGGAATACTTGGCATCCAAGTTCCAAGTGCCCGCTGAGCTCCATGAGCCTCTGCTGTCCCTTTCGCTATCACAGGCTTCTCCCGGCCAAACATCTGCTGAGTATGCAGTGCCTCGAATCAAGAGGCATCTTGCTTCTATTGGCGTATATGGTCCCGGGTTTGGAAGTCTGCTGGCAAAATGGGGTGGTGGTTCTGAGATTGCTCAAGTTGGGTGCCGTGCCCTCGCAGTGGGAGGCGGGGTATACGTATTGAATGCTGGGGTTGAATCAATCTCCAATCTGCATCAGTCTGACAATGGTGATGACATGCGTGTTCAGTTGCATCTGTCCAACGATGAGACAATTAAGACCAAGCTAGTGGTTGGTTCTAACTGGGATCTTCCTGGACAAGAGCGTCCCGCTTGTGATAAAGTGGCACGGTCCATCACCGTTGTCTCGTCCCCCCTCGAGAGTCTATTCCCTGTCACGGCAGAAGGTGGGCCAATTCCCGCCGGAGCAGTCGTGGTATTCCCGGGAAGCTCTTTTGATCAGTCAGATGATCTACCGCCAGTTTATCTCTTGGTGCATTCAAGCGAAACTGGCGAGTGTCCGTCAGGCCAATGTGAGTACAACCTCCCCTCCACATCAACCCAATAGCTCAAATGATGCACCTTTTTAAAATACTTATCTACATTGCCTGTAATTGCATTGATGAAAATTTATCAATCTGATCTTGAGCTTGTTTCTTCATTGTTATATGCACAATTACCGTTTGCGACCATTCGCTAACTGTGGTGTGTTAGGTGTCGTCTATGGCAGTGTGAACATTGCTGGTGCTCAAGGCCAGTCATTGATTGAGGATGCTGTGCACAGACTTCTTCAATCCAATGCAGAACCAGATGCGAAGGTCTTGTGGTCTCTGCGTTACACACAATTGGGCCTAACCAGCAATGGTGCCAGTGGACGCTCATTTAAGTTGGAAGACCCCTCACCCAATATCCTATGCTTTCCACCCCCTAGTCTGGACCTTGCTTTCGATGATGCATTGATCGACCGGGTGAAGGACGCGTGGAAGTTAGTTATGGGGGATGAAGCCAATGAGCAAGAGTTTATGAACTTTGAGGACCGGGAGCATGCCGATGATGAGGACTGATTCATCGTAGCCATAGATAGATAGACAAGCATGAATGAAATATATGTGGTACCTAACCAACTATTGTTTCCAAGACTTTTATACACTGTCGACGCTAGGTCTATTTCTTGCGGGAATGTAAAGCGAGCCTGCTTGCACTATGCCCTAATATTCTGGAAGTTCTTGCAAAGTGCTAGACCCTGCATAACTCAAACACTAATTAATCCAATGTAGTACACATCAAACCCTTCGAAATATTACCCATCAATCGAACCCCCGAAGCCTAATCCCCTTCCCCGACAGCCAACAGGCCGCGTGAACAAAGCTTCGGATACCCAGGAATCGATACGTATCACCCATCCCCAGACCTCATACCACCACCAAGACACAACATTACGAAAGCACCCAATCCACCCCCCCCAGTACGACATATAGCAACCCTATCAAAACGCACTGATTCCCAAAGACACCCCCGCATTTCGATTCCACACACGTAATTGCACATCAAAAACAAAGATACTTGAAACGCGGAGGCCGTTTCAGCGCCCCACCTTCACAATGTAACAAAAGTCAATCCAATTGTCACCCTGCCAAGTGTGCCAAGTGCCAAATACTAAGTAATGTTTTCTCTGTTAGGTGCTGGTTTGATATTGCAAGGGTTCCACTGAAACATGGATAACGTAACATGAAAAGCGTTTTTTGCGTTCTGGGTAGGGTGGTTTTTGCAAATGGGGGGTTTTCCTTGTTTTGGGTGATGATGGGTAGGGCGTGTTTTGTGAAGGGTTGGGTATTTGTGTACTTGGAAGTTATGTGTGTGTGTGTGTGTGTGTGTGTGTGTGTGTGTGTGCACTAGGACTGATGTGGTTACTTTTCTATCGACCTACAAGGTACCTGGGGATACTCAGGAGGAAGGATAATGGTGTCCATGTTTGAATGTAGTTGATTCAAGTAGCGTAAGGAGGAAAAAGGGCAGACGTCACGAAGTGCGGCGCTCCTCTTTCCATGGTAACAGGATACCAGCTCCGAGAGGGACGTCACTTGTTATCGCCCAGACCCATTTTCGACATTCCTGATGATGCGAGGAGCAATGACATATTTAGATTAACCTTTTCGGGATTACATCGGTGGCTTGATATATGGAATCCAGGTAAGGATTGTGAGCTCTCAGACGGGTCAGCTATCAAAATCTCCGCGTGTGTCCATGCTTGAGGCGGCCATAAGTATGCAGGGGATGGATAGATATGGGGGGCCATGATAACTGAAGTTTAGGGACTATGTTTTGTTATCGAGTAGACTAATGGATTTCCATTGATATTGATAGAGTGCTAGCAACTAAGCACACAAGCGTCTTCCCTTGCGGACTTAGCGTTGCAATGGGCTGCCACAGGTTCACGATGATTATACGGTCGAACCCGAAGTAAATTGGGCAACGGAACCGGACTATTGAGTAAATCCTCCGGGCCGTGCTTTCATCTATCTGTTCCATAGCACCGTAGATCGGTTGTGTCGAAGGGTCTCACTTTGATGGTAAGAACGTTCTAGAAAACTCAGAGATCTGCGTATAGGTGGATAATCTCCTATCTACGCCAATATATGTCATCCTTGGCTGTTGAGCACCCGGCCATGACTGCAGATATCATCCCGCGACGCGTAAATCAAACAGACTGTGTCCACGGGTGCTCAGGAGAGGACAGTAGCTGGTCCAGGGGGTCCAAGAGCCAGCATTGAATCCAGGACCGAAATGGAACTAGAAAAATATCATAATCCACAGTTGCGATGACGGGATAGCACCTCATTTAACGCACCCACGCTAACGCGTCTACGGTGAAACTATACGGTCAAGCTCAACGCATTGTTTGGATTGAGTTCTGTGGTGAAAAGCTTCAAGCATAGTCCAAGTGGGTAAAATCCACTTCGAGAGTGGAATTGTTGCGTTGTTCAGGAGCTCATGGAAGCTATACATACTCTGCGGAGGCTTGATGTGAGTTGGTCTCCCAAGTTGCCACGGAGGCTCCGGGCTTGATACATTGTAGATCCAAAGTTCAAGGCTGAGGGCCCG